TCTCTCTCTCTCTCTCTCTCTCTCTCTCTCCCTCCCTCCCTCCCTGTGTGTGTACGTGTGTGTGTGTGTGTGCTCCCTTTACTGGTTACCTTCCTTCTCCTAAACAGTTGCCTTCTACTTTCAAGTTATTTATATACATGTGTCTCATTTAGTTCAACTTCAATTCTGCATGTGAAATCCATGCACTTTTTATGCCTTCCCCTCCATTAAGAACTCTTCCTGCAACCACTTATCATACACATAAATACCTATATATACATATCACACACACATACATGAATCCTCACACAGAAATTCAGATTCTGCATAAAAATAAACATGCAATATTTTTGAGTCTGGCTTATTAAATTTAGGATGACAATATCCACTTCTATCCATTTTCCTCAAGTGACATTTTCTTCTCTTTACGGTTAAGTAGAATCCCAGTATATGAATGCCACATATTTTCAGACATCATCTGCTGACAGGCCTTTAGACTGGTTCCAGTATCTCAGCTATTGTGACTGGAGCGTAAGTAAACATGGACACATAACATCTCAATGCCATGCTTAGATACCTTTGTATAAAACAGCAAAAACAGTAAGTACAGCTGGACCATAGTCAGTTCAATTTTTAGTCTACTAAGGAGTCTTCATGTTGATTTTCCTAAGGGCTCCACCAGTTTTCCTTGCCATGAGCACTGTACAAAGGTTCCTGTCACTCTCTGATTAGTACCTGTAGTTGTTCCTTTTCTTAATGACAGCCATTTCTGACTGAAGATAATCTCAATGCAGTTTAAATTTGCATTTCCTCGGTGGCTGAAGAAGTTGAAACTTTTTTCATATACTTTAAGAACTGTCTGTTCAGTACATTTACCCATTTACTGATCAGATGGTTAAGTTTTATGGTGAATAAGAATTGAACGGATTCTAGACACTGGTGAAGTTTACGCTCCCGATTCCTTCTGCTGTGTGGCAGTTTTGTAATTTCATACACTCCCACCTGTCACCTTGTGTACTTCCTCACCTGCTGGAGTTCATCTCAGAAAATCCTTTCCTGGACTTCTACCTTAAAGTGTCATACTTGTGTGTTCTTCTGGAAGTCTGAGTTTTAGATCTTACATTTTTAATTAATTTTTGTATAAGATGAAATATAAAAATCTCATTTCATTATTCTATGTTAATATTCATTTCTCTCAGCACCACTAGTTAAAAAGGTTAATTTTTCCTAATGCATGTTTTTCACCTTTGTCAAAAATTAGATGGTAGCCATAACTTTTCCTAACAATCCTGTGTCTACTAAGGCACAATTTCTATCCTTTGTTTTTATTTCTATTTCCACGTTTAAGCAATCGTAAGTTTCCCAGTAGAGCACGACCAATGTTCAGACTGATGATCTTAGAAAAGTTTCTGTGATGCAGTGAGACGGCTTAGCAGGTAAACGAGCCTGTCAGCAACCCTTACCTGAGTTTGACAGTGGACGGAATGAAAGCAGAAGGAAAGAAGCAGTTTCCAAAGGTCACGGGATCTCCACATATATGCTGTGGTACAAGCAGCTTACCTTCACACATGGATCACATCACACAATAATTTTTTTAAAAATTAAGAAATGTTTTGTAACACTTTAAACAGAGGACTAAGCATCCTCTCAAGTGTTCTGCCTATGTCATATCATACCATTGGTCTTCTGTGTGAGAGCTTGAGCTTTGAGAAAACCCTCTGCAAAACCAGTTTTAAATGCATCTTGGTGAGCTTCAGGTATGTTTTTAGTTTTCATAAGCTTGTCCAAACTCTGAAGATCTGTTCCTCTGTCCCGCAACAGAAATCCCTAAAAATCAAAGAAAATACAGCAGAGTTATAAAGATACAAAAAGGACGGACAGTAGTGGCGCACACCTTTACTCCCCGTACTCTAGAGGCAGAGTAGGCGGATCTCTGTGAGGTCGAGGCCAGCCTGGTCTACAAAAGGAGTTTAAAGACAGCCAGAGCTATACAGAAAAACCCTGCTCAAAAAACCTAAAATAGATAAATAAATAAAGATGCAAACATAAAGAAGGCAGCGTTCTGAAGATTTTCTGTCTATTGGACAAAGTCAAACGGTATACTTTATAATTTTGATAATCTGCTAGAAGCAGTAGATATGACAATAAAATAAATGCTATCTGTAAAAAACAGAAATACCTTACTGAGAATGGGACACTGGGGCCAGAGAGAGGAGCCATTAAAGGTGAGGCTTGCAACCAAAATGTCAGAAGAATGGAACATCAAAACCACACATAGAGGATTGTAGATATATTTTAGCTGGCAATATTTGCTTAGCATACATGAGACTTTCAGAGTTTAGAACTATATAAACTAGACTTGTCAGCACACATATGCAATGCTAGCACATGAGAGGCTGAGGCAGGGGAATCCTAAGTTTAAGGCAATCCTTAGATACACAAAGAGTTAGAAGCTAGTGTGGGCTATATGAGACCACCCATGTCTCCAATCTCCTCACCCTCCTTCCTGAAAGCCATACAGGTGGGCACCATGTAATAGGTCTATAATTGCAGCAGTTGAAAAGGAAGATTATGAGTTCAAGGCCAGCCTGAGCTAATGCAAACTCTCTCCCTTTCTCTCCCCCCCCCACACACGAAAGCAAAACAAAACCAAATACACACACAGGGAATAAACATAATGAATGAACAATTTGAAAGAATATAAAATAATGTCCAAAAAAATTTGTTAAGAGTCAATGCCAAGAAAATAAGGGTATTTAGTGACCAGCATATGCAAGGTTGAGAACAGAAAAATGGTCAATAAGTGCAATAAAACACACTGTTAAATAAGACTGAGTTGGGTAAGAAAGCAGAATATCCAAATTAATTAGGTTATCATTTAAGGAACAATGATGATACAAGTTTGGAGGCAAGATTGAAAGTAGCAAGAATATATGCTGTGGAATATTAGCTGAAAATGTGTTACATTTGTTTATGCTGCGGAATATTTATTTAATAGTGCAAAAAATGTGTTGCATTCTTTTATATTGCATTTGTTTAACTCTGTGAAGCTGTGTTACTTTGCCTGCCTAAAACACCTGATTGGTCTAATAAAGAGCTGAATGACCAATAGCTGGGCAGGAGACAGACAGGCAGGGCTGCTCTTTAGTTTAAGAGATTAAATAGGAGAAAAAGAGAAGAGTAGTGAGAAAAGGAAGAGAGGAAAATGTCAAGGGACAGCTACCCAGCCAGACACGGCATAAGATGGAAAGAAAGGATATACAGAAATAGAGAAAGGTAAAAGACCAGGGACAAAAGGTAGGTGGTATAATTTAAGAAGAACTGGCTAGCAACAAGCCAAGCTAAGTTGGGCATTCACAAGTAAGACTATGTGCGATTATTTGGGAGCTGGGTGGTGGGCCCCCAAAGATCAAAGAGTAAAAAAACATAACCAAACACAACTACAAATAGAAGCAAGGTATCAAATGAGTACTTGCTAGAATAACTGAGGCAATAAAATGTTAAAGTGTCCATGAACGGCAGTGCAACAAGGATGAAGGGAAAGATTTAAGAAACATTAGCTGGGCAAAGTGGTTCACACTTGAAATAAGATATGGGAATCTGAAGCAGAAGAATTGCCTTAAGTTTGAGGCCAGACTAGGCTACACATTGAGATCCAGAACCACCTGTGAGGCAGACTGAGATCCTGTCTCTAAAAAGCAAGATACCCCCCCCCCCACCTCTCCGCAAACAAACAAAACACTAACAAAAGAGAAACATTTCAGGTTAGTGGTATAGATCAGTGGTAGATCACCTGGCTAGAAACCATGAAACCTAGGTTCAATCCCTAGGACCACCACTTCCCCAATGATACTTATTAGGGTACACTGGGAAAAGGACAGCTTTTTCAGACAGTACTGGGAAACTGGACTACAACATACAAAAAAAAAAAAAAAAAAAAAAAAAAAAACCAGAAATCTTATCTCTAATCCTATACATGATTCAACCCTAAGTGAATCGACCTTTAAGCCTTGATACCCTGAAACTGGTAGAGAAGAACGGAGGCCCGCGCCTCTGCTCTGCGCACAGGCGGACATGACCACAGTTCTGAGTGAGGCTCCAGTAGCACAGAAGAACAACAGTCAACAAATAGGATCTTGTGAAACTGAAAAGTTTCTGTGCAGCAAAAGAAACTTCAAGCAAACGAAGATGCAGCCCACAGAATGAGAGAAAAATCTCCCAGCAATTTATCTGACAGAGTTACTGTCTAAAACAGGTCAAAGAACTCAAAATACCAAGCATTAAGAAAATAAACAGTCCAATCAAAAACTGGGCAATGGAGCGACCTGGACAGAAAATTCTCAAAGGAAATATAAGCAGTTCCTAAATGCTTTAAAACGTACTTAGTCATCAAGGAAACTGAAAGGAATTTTAAGATTTGAGGACTACAAATGACAACAAATGCTGGTGTGGACGTGACTGACTTTATATTCTGCTACAGAAATAGTTACATTACTACTCTACTACAACAGTAAGGAAATGGAATCAACCACATGTTAATGGATGGGTAAGAAAAACGTAGACTGGGCATGGTGGTGTATGCATTTAATCCCCCCACTTGAGAAGCAGAGCTGGTGAATCTCTTCTGAGTTTGACACTAGCCTAGTCTACATAGTGAGGTCCAGGATAGCCAGGGATATGTAAGGAAACTATATCTCAAAAAAGAAAAATATGATGCATATACACAGTGAACTCAGGTATACAGGCAAATGAAATTTGTAGTTAAACGTATGGAAGTGGAAAAGTTATACTAAGGTAACAGACCCAGAAAGACAAAAGTCATGTTCTCTCCATTATGCAGATTTGAGCTATAAATCTTGTTTTGTGTGAACTTGAAGTCCAAGTAGAAACCAAGAAACCAAAGAGGGGCCTTTTGGGAGGAAGGGAGTTGGGAGGAAACTATCATACCTTAAGGAAGAGTTAAGTATATCGTTTAAGTATATTGTAGGTAAAAGGAGAAAGGTGGAATAGTGGCAGCACAAAGGCTCTAACAGGGCAGGGTGAGGAGTATGGGCAAAAGCTGGAAATGGAAGGAGGGCTAACACGAAGTATATGGAAAGCTATAAACTCACAGGCCAATTAAAAATATTTGGAGGTATAATAAAACACATGTGAAATGAATGAAGAGGGGAGGATAGTAGAGGCTAAAGACTTAACCAGATATGGATGGGGGAGAGGAGAGAGTTGTTGGGTTAACCAAAACCAAGGATGTATGCAAAAGTCTTATGAAAAACCAGTAGCTAGTATACTAATTTCAAACTAACTTAAAAAATAGCCCATGAGGCAGATCTCTGTGAGTTCGAGACCAGCCTGGTCTACAGAGCTAGTTCCAGGACAGGCTCCAAAGCCACAGAGAAACCCTGTGTTGAAAAAACAAAACAAAACAAAACAAAAAAATAGCCCAATGGAACTATCCTGCATGAATGGACAATGCAATTCTCAGAATGTATAAGCAATCAAGTGACAGTACAAGGTACATGTAGTCAGAGAGGTCTTAGAGATTTTCAAAACACGGGCTAGTGCCATTAATTAGTCTTAGTTACCCACCATAACTACAAGGTAAACCTCAATGGCTGAAGATACTGCACACCTTGGACACAGGACATAAAAAAATCAATCTCAAAATGACTGATCAAGTTCATCCCTAATTGCTAGTTTTCAGTGTTGAAAGGTGCAATGTAGGTGGTTAGAGAGAAAGTAAGTACATCAGTGGTTTTAACCAGATCTAGACCCTGCATGCTCCAATACCTACTAGTCATGCAAGAAATGCCTACTTGTGCAACAGAGGCGTGACTGCTAATGGGGTGCCCAACCTCTCTCTGGGTTTGAGACCTGTTCCACAGAAGGGAGTTCCATGCCTGGTACCTTAATCCTGCTCAAAAAGCCCATGGTAAGAATGGTTATAAGTCCTAGGGTAAACATCTGTTTTTATTTTGGTAATTCTATTCAGGGTTTCTCTGTGTAACAGTCCCAGCTGTCCTGGAACAAGCTTTGTAGACCAGGTTTGGCTTCAAATTCACAGAGATCCACCTGCCTCTGCCTCCCAAGTGCTAGGATTAAAGGTGTGTGTCACCAAACACCACCTTCTAAATATTAATTTATGTTTATACACATAGACCTGGCCTGCTTTCAACCTTGGTCAGCTTCTTTTTGCACAGCACAGTAGTCAATGCAGCAATACAAAACTGTAATAATACTAAGAAGAGACTGACCATTCATCCCTAGACAGGAATTCTATATCATGCACATCACTCCTCCAGAGAGGCTCAGGGAACATGAAGGAAAAGGCAGAAAGAATTTAAGAACCAACATGTAAGGAGGAATGCTGTGAAATGTTGTCTTTGGGTATGACATGGTTATAACTTTCATGAACTCACAGCAACTGAAATTACCTGCACAAGAACAAGCCAACCAAAATCCTGACATAGGTCGGGTAGACAATCTCCGGTGCCCACCCTTTATTGAGTAGCTATTACTCTTTTCTGAGGATGTGGCCACTGGTAGGTTTCTCAAGCTCCAGTGGATACTCCTACACGCATACATATATAAGCAACACTAACTGGACTTAGTAGGTTACAAAAAACAAACAAACAAACAAAAACCAGTAACTTTAAAGACATGAGTTTGGGAGGCAGACATGTTGAGGGAGATATAAAGGTGGCTGAAGCAGAGAATGGGGGTGGATATCATACTTCATTGTATACATGTACGACATTGTCAAGAATAAAGACAAAAACGAAAACATTTTTAAAGATTTTAGAGGCACAACAAATACATGAGTAGTTAATATTGTAGGTAGACAGAACTGAGTGGGCGCTCCACCAACCAGAAAAATGAGATACTTAAAGGTTTTGATGTCCCAGTATTTATTACTTATTATTTTCTAAACCACAAATAACTAATTACCTTCACAAAGGATGGTGCTATATTTTGTGCTTCTGCTAATCTTTCAGAAGTAGACTGCAAACGCCGTGTCCTTGATTTCAAAGTTTTAAAGCCCCGAGACTGTGTGAAAACTGAACAAAACAGTACCAATTACTTGGTAGCTATAGCAAGAGAAAATGATCAAGTGTAAAGTCTGACTCATAACGGTACATCACAATTAGAATCCAAGTTCTAGATATAGTTATTTCAGCTGGCATTTCAATTTGCTTCACCTTTTTCTATTACCCTTTTTTCCAAGAACTTTGAACACTTAACTTCATGTTGAGAGGAGGAAAAAGAGGATTTCACAATATAATAAGAAAGAACCTCAAATGAGAAATAAGACTGGCCTAGAGGCAAGTCTTCAAGTATTGGCTTAAAGAAAACGTGAGATGGTTCAGTCCACAAAGGATGTTGTCACTACCAGGCAAGTGATGCTGGGTTACATAAGAAAGACAACAGAGAAACCCTGGGACAACTCCATGGCGTCTGCATCAGTTCCTGCCTCCAGATTTGTGCTTCTGCTTTTGCCCTGACTTGCCTCAAAGATGGACTGTGATTAGGCCCTGTAAGCCAAATAAACAATTTCCTTCCTTAGGTTGCTTTTGGCCAGTGTTTCATCATAGCAACAAAAGCCAAACTAAGACAAGTACCAAAGCCCATCCTTACTGACTCTCAGTTTGGTATTTATTATTTTTAAGTTCTACTAGAAATAGTTATGACATTTCCTAATGCTGCAACCCTTTAATATATTTCTTCATGTTGTGGAGACCCCACCATAAAATTATTTCACGGCTACTTGGTAACTGTAATTCTGCTACTGTTAAGAATCACAATGTAAATATCTGATGTGCAGGATATGTGGACCCCCACACGTTGAGAACCACTGACTATCCTAAATTGTATGAAAGTAGCAAAAATGCTATCAATTTGATATCACCTAGCTTATGGCTTTATTTAAAGTCCTCAGATTTCTGGGATGTTAATGAAAACACTCTGGTATTCTCCAATTTTTTTCCTTTAACTTTTTCCTGACATTTCAGTGGGTTTTTGGAGGTGACGGAAAGTAGACAAACATGCTTAGTTAATTACTTTGAAACAAGTGTAGATGAGTTTCCCGAGTCTGATTTACCGTAGTCCTTAGCACTAACACAGCTTCTATTATTATTTTGTGGCTCAGCATTTATAAAGAGGACTAGAGAGTTGCCAGCACTGGATGCTCTTCCAGAGGACCTGGATTCAATTCCCAGAAACCTATGGTGGCTCCAGTTTCAGGAGACCTGATGCCCTCCTCTGGCCTCAGGGGAAACCAGGCAAGTATGGTATGGTACACAGACATAACATGCAGGTGGAACAACTATACATATAAGAAATACTTTTAGGGGGCTGGAGAGATGGCTCAGTGGTTAAGAGCACTGACTGCTCTTCTAGAGGACCCGGGTTCAATTCCCAGCACCCACATAGCAGCTCACAACTGTCTAAAGATCCAGTTGCAGGGGATCTGATAGTTACAAGCCTGTCTAGGTTAACACAATGAAACCTGTCTCAAAAATTACAGAACCAACCAAATTAATAATCACAAATACTTTTAAGTCTACTATACTATAGATAATTACCACCATTAACAAAAACAAGTCTTATTAAATATACTTATCAAATTTTTCAAAATAAACACAGTTTTTTCGTACTTGGAAAATACTGAAGATCTGAACAAATGTTTCGAAGAGTTTTTGGATATTGTCTGTGCAGGCTAGAGGAGCGCAGCGTATTGAACATATCTAAGTGACCTGCAAGGAAAATGAAAGAAGTTATTCTCCAGTTGTCAAGCCAAGGCAAAAACACATGAAAAACTGTATAAAATATAAATTTATAAATACCAGGAAAAGTGACATGTATCACAGAGTATTTTAAGAAAGACATTTGATGCACTAATGTATCAAATCCTTTATATCTCACAATCCCTCGTTTCACTATCACTTACCTTAGGTTACTATTTTTCTCTGGCGTGTGTTTATAGCTGCCCATGAAACTAAATTCAAATTTAGAGGTTAAAAAAAAGGAAAAACAATCTCTTTTATTAAAAGGATAGAGTGGTTAACTACTGCTACTGCTTAAAGGCCATCTCAAAGCCCTGTATCATAGAACACTGCAAACACAGCTTCTGCTCTGCTTGAAGGATCTAGAGTAAAGCCAGGTGTGTTTGCAATCATCTTTAACCCAGAGCTTGGAGGCAGAGGCAGGTGGAACTCTTGAGTTCAAGGCCAGCCTGTTCTACACAGTGACTTCCAGGACAGCCAGGGCTACATAGGGAGACCCTGTTTCAAAAAAACCAAAATTATAAAGAATTGCCAAATATGAAAAGGTTTTCTCTGACAGCCAGGCTTGCAACTCAAGGCCTCACAGAACCACTGAACTATACTCCCAGCCTCAGCTCTTCCATGGTTAGTATTTGTTTTTATGTTCCAGTAACACTTAAGGCATTTTTCAAAAATTTCTCAAGAGACCAACTAAGAAACTCATTTCTAATATTTCTGTCTGCCCAAGTGGAGCCAAGCAGCTCACAGTATGAAGAATCTTAAATTGTAAAAATGCAGATTAGAAAAACAGAAGAATAAAAGTATTAAAACATTAAAGTAAAAATGTGCCCTGAAGATTTACTACAGAGCCCAACACTTTAGGAAGTCAAAGACAAACGACTCAATCAAGACTGTAGTCTAAGCCCTCAAATCTTAAAACTGTTCTTTTTCCTCACTCTTACATTTTTTAGTCTTTTTTATTCTTGAAATCCTACAATTTATACTGACTTTTAAAATGTGTTTTTCCATCAATATGAGACAGGTATTTTGAATTTTTGTTTTATTATGTATACAGTGTTCTGCCTGGATATATGCTTACATGGCAGAAGAGTGTACCAGATCTCATTACAAATGGTTGTGAGCCACCATGTGGTTGCTGAGAATAGAACTCAGGACCTCTGGAAGAATAGCCAGTGCTCTTAACTTCTGAGCCATCTTTCCAGCCCTGGAATTCTGATACTTTAAGAAGGTTGTAGTCTAGGCAGTGATGGCACGCACAGCTTTAACTTAACTACAGTACCTAGTAGGCAGAAGCAGGTAGATCTTTGAGTTCAAGACCAGCCTGGTCTACGTAGTGAATTCCAGAACAGTGAGGGCTACCCAGAGAAACCCTGTTTTGGCGTGGGGGGGTGGGGGGGGGGGGGGGGAAGAGCAGAATCACATGTGGCACAGCCCTATAATCCCAGCTCTTCAGGAGGTTTAGACAGGAAGACACCAAATATAAGACCTGCTAGCATAACTTGCCAAAACCCTGGCTCAAAATGAAAATTAATTAAAGTGTTAAAGATATAACTCAGTACATCAAGGAGAGTGCTTGCCTAGCCTCAGTGAGGTCAAGGGTTCAATCCCACGGAGCACCACAGAAAAGATATTCACAGACTGGACATGTAGCTCAGTGGTTAAAAAGTTTACATAATAAGAGCAAGCCCTGATATCAATACTATGGGAAGCAAAAGAGTACAGACAAATTCTCTGTACTTTACAATTTTTCTATAAATATAACATTATAGCCGTAAGAAAATTACAAATTTAAAAAAAAACACTTCAAAAAAGAACTGGCCCATAGTAAATGTTAATATAGTATAAACATCATCAGTAAGTTCAAGAATAACTTACATACCATATTTATTTTCGAAGAAGGACTGTGCTGAGACATGAGATGTATGCCAATGGGAAGAAACTCTTTTGTCTTTATAAAACCCAGGAAGTAGATTTTCTACCAGTTGATCAATCTGTCCAATTTTTAATTCAGATAATCCAAGGTCCTTTAAATTAAGTACAGGCTATAAAAGACCAAACAGCCAAATTAACATTAATGAGACATTTAAAAGATACTTATCAAAAACAATAAGGATTTTTTTAAATTAAAAAAAAGAACTGACATCTTAATTATTAAAATAAGTTAATATAAATATTCTGATGGTTCTAGTTTTACTAAGGTTCATTATGGGTTTGACCAAAAAAAAAATAAAAAAGCCCTAACAGTCTCCCTAAATAGATGACATTTCTCACTATAACAAAAGCACCAGTTAGTTAAACATTATGATTCCCAATGACGTGAGACTTTACATTATTTTCCCTCTCTGCATAGAAAGCACTGCGACCTAGTTGCCAACCTAACCATCATCTGCCACTCATAAGAATAGTATTGGCTGGGTGGAGTACAGTAAAACAGACTATTTTAAGAGAGATCACATTGATGTAACTTTCATTGCAATATAATTGTTATTTTTATTATTAGTTGCAATTAATCTCTTACTATGTTTAACTTATAAATTCAACTTTACAGTACTTTCAGTAATAAGGTTTTCTAGGGCTGTATGATTGGAGAGCAAGGTTATCAAAAGAGAAGAAAAGCAATGGTGTGTCTACAAAAATGAACAAGAAAACTGAGCAAATAGGGAAAAAGAAGTACAAAGATGAGAGGAACACACCTCCATTGCTGGTGGGAATGCAAACTTGTACACCCACTCTGGAAATCACTATGGCGGTTTCTCAGAAAATTGGGAATCAATCTACCTCAGGACCCAGAAATACCACTCTTACACATATACCCAATGATGCTCAATCATACTACAAGAACATTTGTTCAACTATGTTCACAGCAGCATTATTTGTCATAGCCAGAACATGGAAACAACCTAGATGCCCCTCAACCAAAGAATGGATAAAGAAAGTGTGGTGCATTTACACAATGGAGTACTACGCACTAAAAAACAATGGCATCTTGAAATTTGCATGCAAATGGATGGAACTAGAAAAAAACATCCCGAGTGAGGTAACCCAGAAAGATGAACATGGTATGAACTCATTCCTAAGTGGATACTAACTGTAAAGCAAAGGATAATGAACCTATAGAGTCCACGACCCCAGAGAAATTAAGTAACAAGGTGAAACCTAAGAAAAATATATATAGATCCCCTTGGGAAGGGGAAATAGACAAGATCTCCTGAAAAAAACTGGAAGCATGGGGTGGGGAGGTGAGAAGGGAGGGTGGAAGGACAGGAGGAGGGGAGAGTGGGATGGGGAGGAGACCTTGAGGGAACAGGATAGTCAAAATGAGGGAAGGCCAGAGATGGAGGGCAAGGAAAGAGATACTTTGATTAAGGGAGCTGTTATGGGGCTAGCAAGAAACCTGGCACTAAAAAATTCCCAGGAATCCATAAGGATGACCCCAGCTAAGACCCTAAGCAATAGAGGAGAGGGTACCCGAACTGACCTTGCCCTGTAGTCAGACAACACTTGACCAGGTGTGATTAAAATTTTCTCATAAAGCTCAAGTAACTATTACCTCACTACTCGGAGTGTCATGCTCAGGAGCTGTGTCTCGGCGCTGCTTCTGAACAGGTGTGTTCACAGAAACAGATATGCTTTTCGGTGAATGGAAAGCATTGATGAGATGACTGAGAGGAACTGTAACCTAGAAAACAGATACAATTTCAAATTAAGAGGAATGTTAAAAAAAAAAAACAGAAACAATTTCTTTTCTGGTCAGGATTTAGGATCTGTTAAAAGTCAAAACAGCTGGGCAGTGGTGGTGGCACACACCTTTAATCTCAGCACTCAGGGAGGCAGAGGCAGGCAGATGTCTGTGAGTTCGAGGCCAGTCTGGTCCACAAGAGCTAGTTCCAGAACAGCCAGAATTGTTACACAGAGAAACCCTGTCTTGAAAAACAAAACAAAACAAAACCATTTGCTGGAGGTAGAAAGAAAATTGGTTTACTCTTTCATGATACTATTCTGGATATGTTAAGTCAGGCACAATGGTACACACCTTTTATCTCAGCACTGCGGAGGAAGAGACAAGCAGATCTCTGTAAGTTCAAGGATAGCTTGGTCTACACAGAGTTCAAAGCCAACCAGAACTACACAGTGACCATGTCATAAAAATTAATAAATTTGAAATATATATTTTTCATCCTCCAAAATCTACTATCTAGAAATTTATTCTAAGGAAATGATTTAACAAATGCATGCACCTTAATAAGATCATTTTAACAGCATAATTTTAAAGTAGATGGAAAGCTGAAGAGAACCACCATGAGGGAAGTGGAAAAATCAAAGTCATTTCCACAGAATAGCAAGAATTCTATTCTCACCTCATTAGGACAAACACAGATGTAATCCATGGGGGCTTATGATTTACCAATAACTCAAGAAACTCTAAGAATTTCACAGAAGCTTGTTATATTCTCCCCCCACCCCCCACCCCGCCACCCACTCACCTGCTCCTGCCCTTACCCAGCCCCAGCACACTCCCAGCCCAAGATAAAATGATCATATTAAAATCAGTCAACCTTTGGCTTAAAAATCTAACACCTGTAGAACCTGAACATCGTCTCCTGTTTGGTTCTTCATTAAATGCCTTTCACTCCCTGGGTTAGAAGGGGCTCAAAGAACACATGAAAACACTTTATTTACATTGCCCATCTATAAGGAGAAACAGAAATGGACATAAAGAAGTACACAGGACAAGGCCAGGCAGAACACCTAGTGGAGGACATCCTCTCTGGAGTTCTGATGTAACACCCTCTTACAGCTCAATTACTGCCTGAAGATGTGGGAATTACAGGATGCTAAGATTGCCTGGTCTGACTAGTTCCACTCTGAGGTTATTTGCAGATTAAAAGTCACCTCATTAGGACAAACACAGATGTAATCCATGGGGGCTTATGATTTACCAATAACTCAAGAAACTCTAAGAATTTCACAGAAGCTTGTCATCAGGAAGACCATAAAATAAAGTATTTATTTTATTGTATCATATTACCCAATTAAAAGGTAAACTCCATAAGGCAAGGATTCTTTTGTATTTTAGTACTCAGTACTGCACTCCAGCATAACAGTGTATAAGGGAATGACAAACAGGTCTGATGTTGAGTGAATAAAATAATGGGCTCTGATTATATACCAAGGCCCATAATTTAAATAATTTAATACCTAGGACATAAAAATTAGCTATTATTGTATTTCTTCCTTTTAAAATTCATGCTGAATTCAGTTTCCATTATAACAGCAGTGTTATAGGTGTTTAGCTAGGAGTCTATTTTACTATATTACTACAAGCCAATTGTTCTACATAGAAAGATCCAGTTTTATGAAACCCAAAACAATCAAGGATTTAAGTCATGGAAGTCCAGTCCTGAGGAACAAATTGACGCTGTTATGGCAGGGGGTTTCCCACCTTGCTTTCTTTGGCCCCTCTACCACATATGTCTTCTACTCCATGACAGTAAACTATCCACCCTGTCTTCTCGACAGAAACTAATTCATTTTATAGTCAACAGTCCCTATCTACTGGTTTTTCAATTACTAGGACTTCCCCAGACACTGCCATCCTGGAAAACAGTCGCTTTACTGTATCGAGTTGACCAAAACAGAAACATCACTTTCTACCATTTCCCTCACTTAGAACCAAGTGAAATTCTATTTTCTTTTTCCTGATAGACTGGATGTCAATTCCTAATCCTCTTGCCCCTTCCCTCAAGACTGTTGCTACACTAGACATTTGTATTTCTTTTCCATAATTATTGAACACTACTTGATTGGGGTGGCATCCCTTTCCTGGGTTAGTTCAGCAGCATCCTTAATCCGTAACCCTTCCACTTTTGCCCTCTCCTATTTTCCACACAACAAGAAGCCAAAGAAAGCCTACAAACGAAAATCTGGTCACAGAAACCATTGTCTGTTATCAAAAAAAAATTAATCAAGGAAAAAGACATTAATTAACACAATTTGGGTCCTCAAAGGCCCTAAAAATAATGAATACAAATCAATTCTTAAACTATTTAATAGTAAGAATCTGATGACTCAAAAATGTACATGAGTTAATTCTGACCAGAAAAAAAAATGATGGCTATACAAAATACCAGGGTACGTTTGTTTAAGCTACATTCGGCTTGAAGAAAAAAAGGGGGTTCAGAAAGAGGTAGATAGAAAGAACATTACTTGTCCTCTTTACCTCTCGCGTAGACTTCACAAACCACCATCTCAGAATGTACAACCATAAACAATGCCTGAATTGTCTTTAACAGAAACCCCGCACAAGCCATCCGATAAGCTATGATCCGCCACCGTAAGATCACGCCTCTGCCCTCTTAGGCTTGGCTGCCAATGCTTTTTAGTTTGCATTTTAGTCTCAGGATTGTCCCCTGATCTACTTTCAGCCGCGACTCAAACTGAGCTCGTCGCTTCCCTCACTACTTCGCTCCGGAAAACCCGATTCTACGGCAGCATCCGGAAAACAGTCGCAAAAGGGCCGCAGGAAAACGGCTAAATGCTGGGCTCACCTGGGGCTGCACAGTGCTCGACAGGGAGAACATCTCTGGGCCCTCGGGACCTTGCCGCCAGCCGAAACTGCTTCCTAGCTTCAGTTCAGAGGAAAGGGGCTGAGCCCTTTTATTTTCTCTTTCTGTCCCCTCGCTTTTGTCCCGGTTTCTTCCTTACTCTTCCCAGAAACAAAAAATGGCTTCCCCCGCCCTAAAGCTGCTACGCCGACACCTGCCCCGGAAGACCAGAGGCTAACGAAACAGTACTTCCGGAGCAAGTGAACGTCCCCACACTCACCCCACCTCCACCGTCGTCAGCCTCCTGCCTCTTCCCGGTAGTATTTCACTGTGGGAGTTGATTTGGGGTTTGGTTTTTTTTTTTCCCCACAATAAATTGGGTGTTGTTTTAGTCGCTCCTAGTCTATTTCTGAATTCAGTACGGGGCCAGCCGCGCTCCCCGCTCACCCAGGTTCTCCACATTCTGTGACTTCGCTAGCTTCCACACCTCATCCCTAGCCATTGCTTCACTTAACAGTCGGCCCGGCTTCTAGCTCAGGCAGAGGGAGGGAGAACTGCAGATCTTGACTGGGACCTGGGAGGACCCCACTGGATTCGATCCGCATTAAAGTCCTAGTAGTCCCTTCGCTCGTTGGCCAGCAACCGCGCCATCCCGTCACACTCGGCCTGGGAACATAGGGCAGAGCTGGCCAAACTCGAACCAAGCTGGAGCCCCGCCCAGCGACCTGCCGGCTCCGCCTAGTGCTCCGCCCAACGCCCCGCCGGCCCCGCCCAGCACCCCGGCCTCCCCAGCACCTCCCCGGCCCCGCCCAGTGCTCCGCCCAGCATTCTGCCGGCCCCGCCTAGTGCCCCCGGCCCCGCTCAGTGCCCCGCCCAACGCCCCTCCGGCCCCGCCCATCAACCCGTTGGCCCCGCCCAGCGGTGCTGGCTTAAAGTGAACCGCCGGGGCGCAGCCGCGCGGTGACGTCACGGGAGGCGTCCTGCGTAGGCGAAGCCTCTATTTGAATCTAATTGGCGGGAGTTGCAGCTGCAGTGGGACCTGTACGGCTATGGAGTCCGTTTCAGGGAGTGAGGAGAATGAAGGAGGCTCAGCGACAGAGGAGTACGTGAATAGAATTCCGGTGCCAAGACCACCCTCCATTGAGGAGTTCACCATAGTGAAGCCCATTAGCCGTGGTGCATTCGGGAAAGTGTACCTGGGGCAGAAAGGCGGCAAGTTGTACGCAGTGAAGGTAGGAAGTCTAGAAGGCAGAGGGTCTTAGACGGTCCTCCCCTGCTGTCCTCCTTCCTTGTTGCTGGAAGTCATATGCGCTTCAAATTTTTCTGTCCGCTCTTGGTTCTCAGCCAATAGTGAAACTAACAAAGGGAAGCAGACTGTTGATGAATTGAGATTTCTGGGGTGCACCGTTGAGTAACTAGGGCAGGGTGAGTGGTCCTCTGCGGCTGACTGAAGGCTGCCGCCTGTGTTCCTTCTCTTCCTTCACTACCTCCAACATCCTACCTACCCTGCAGGCTAGAGGCTTGAGACAGTGTTCCTTCTTATATTTCATCCATGTAGCTTATCTTTTAATATCCCTGTTTTCCCTCTGGAAGACATTATTTATTTTTAGTTTTTCATTCTTAAATTAATAGCTATGTTCAGGCCCTCATTTCTCCCCACTTGTTTATAAAAGTGCAGTTCAGTGATGATTTTAGTAAGTAGTTGTATAACCATCATCGCAATCCAATATTAGGATAGTTCCACAACCCAGGAAATGGCCTTTTCTGCCTAACCTAGTGCCACTTCCTTTAACTGCTAACCCTTTCCCCTCTCCACTGTCCTCTCTCTCTCTCTCTCTCTCTCTCTCTCTCTCTCTCTCTCTCTCTCTCTCTCTCTCCCTCTCTGCCTCTCTGCCTCTCTCTCTCTCTTTGACCCAAATTTGTCCCAAATAGCCTTAGACTGTGATGTAGCTAAGGCTGGCTGGCTTTGAACTGCTGATGCTCCTGGCTCCATCTTCCAAATGCTGGGATTACATGCCGTGTGCACCAACCCACTCTATGTTGCTGCAAGGTTGCCTTTTCTGGACATTTCACAGAAATCATACAGTATATGATCTTTTGCATCCTATTTTTTTTTTCTTTCTTTCTTTTTTTTTTTTTTACTTGCTTGGTGGTTTGAGGTTCATCAGGCCTTCATTTCTATACCTAGTTGATTGAAATAGTCCCTTAACTCGAATCATTATTTTTACTTTTAATCCATTCTTAGGCTGTGCTGTGCAGGCCTAATCCAGAATCCTTAGGCAATCAGTCATACTCCCAATTTTTGGCCCTAGACCTTCACTGTGTGTTCCACATAATCTATGTTCTAGCAACGCCCAAACCGCCAACTGGTTCCTCAAAGCCATGAATTATATTTTGTGACTCAGAACTTGTTTATTCCAGTTCCTTAACTGTTTTTCCTTTGATAACATCTCAAGCAATGATTGTTTTTTTCCCCGATTAATTATGCAAGCACACGTCACTCACACGGCACACAGACAGACAGTGCAGTACAAGCACAGACACATCACATCACACACAGCACACACTCACTTACCTGGGACTTGAACCAGCGACCTCGGGCTCCGCGGGCGGCGCTCCATGCCACTGAGCCAGCGCTCAGACCATTAAGCAATGATTGTTGATCTGAAAACACCAATTAATCTGTCCAATAAATAGTTTTTGGATCTGGGGTATAGTGGTAAACAAAGCAAACAGGCCTCCATGGAGATTCTGCCAGTCCCGGGAGATAACAGGTAGAATCACATCGTAGGTTTGCTGTGTTTGTCTCTGCAGTGCTGGGAAGGACAGACCTGGGCCTCACCCATGACAGGCAAGTGCTCTGTCACTGATCTACATCCCTAGCCCTCCCCTCGGTTTTTCTTAAGAAAATGAGGTAAAACTAGAATTTATCATGTAGTAATCATTTTATTAAACACGTTAAGTGAATGCCTTTTTATAATAAGTATTGATTCCAGTGGGTATTTTTAATATTTTCATTAATTCTTTGAAAATTATATGATCATAATATTTCTATTGCATCTACTGCTCCAACTTGAATGTATAGTTTTGTTTCTATACATATTACCTTGAAACTTAAAAGGTGTAATTTGGCCAGATGTGATAGCACATACCTGTACTGCCAACACTTGTGAGGTGGAGGTGGGAAGACAGAGTTCAAGGGCACCCTCAGCTACATAGTAAATTCAGGGCCAGCCTCAGATTCATAAGGATGAGAATATAGCTCATATTTTTCTGTAAGGCAGCAGTTGAGAATATTTCAGAATTCTGATTTGTTTTGTATTTTTTGAGATTAGAGTCTTGCTCTTTGGTCCATGCTTGCCTCGGCCTCCTAAATGCTGATATTACAGGCAAGTGCTACCATGACCAGCTGTCATTGTTCCTGAGACAAATAGACTTCAACATTAAAAAAGGGAGGGTTGAATTCTTTATTTTATGTGTATGAGCATTTTGGCTGAATGTATGTATGTGGACCATACGCAGACCTGATACCTAGGGAGACCACAAGAAAACGTTGGATTCCCTGGAAGTAGCGTTACAGATGGTTGTGAAACACCATATGCTGGGAACCAAACTCAGATCCTCCATAAGAAAAGTACTTTTAGCCACTCAGCAATCTCTCCAGCCCACAACATTTTCCCTCTATTCCCCCCTGTCAAGGAATATGTATATGTATGTGAGTCTGTGCCACATGTGTGGATACCTGTAGAGGTCAAGGTGTTAGAGATTCCTAGGAACTGGACTCACAGGCAGTTGTGAGCTTTCTGACCTGGGTTCTGGGGATTGAACTTGGGTCCTCTGTCAGAGTAATACATACTGTTAACCACGGGGCCATCTTTCCAGTCCTCGACAATTATGCTCTATTCCTCTCTGCTAAAGAACGAGAAGCTAAAATGTGTATGTGTATGTATACATATAAACATATATTACTATTCATCTAACCAGCTCCCTGGTTATTCAGTGGGATTATTAGAAACATTATTATCTTTTGACCTTGTTATTAATAAAACTTTCCTACAAACAAACAGATCAGTCAGAAAGAGTTTAATTCCTTTTCTTTCTCAAGTACTTTTGCTGTTTAGTCCCACAGCAAGCAGTGTTATCTTTTTAAAAAAATGTTTTCTTCTTTAACAACTGAGATATCATCTGGCAGTTTTCTAACGTTGGTCAAATCTAAATGACATCTATAGCTCTTATCTTGGTGTTTTTATGATAGCAACTTTGTAACTTCTGAATCCTTTCTAGTAAGAAAGGGGGTAAATGTGTTTGGTGTCATGTTCTCTTTTATAGGTTGTCAAAAAGGCAGACATGATCAATAAGAACATGACTCATCAGGTGCAAGCTGAGAGAGATGCCCTGGCCCTGAGTAAAAGCCCGTTCGTTGTGCACCTCTTCTACTCGCTGCAGTCCGCCAGCAATGTCTACCTGGTGAGTGGACGGCTCGCCGCCCTCTGGGAGAGTCCTGCTTGCATTTAACTTTCTGCTCTCCCACTTGCAAGTTTAATGACCTTCTCCAACTTACATGCTGTTTTAGTGAGAGTTTTCCAAAGAAAAAGAACCAATAGGATGTGTTTGTATGTATGTAAAGACACAGTAAAAGGGATTTGTTTTAAGGAATCCAGTTATTCAGCTCTTAATTGGTTGGCAGTCGAAACTACTAGGTAGATTGTTCCTTGCGAGGCTGATGAAGGATTAATGCTGCCGGTTCTACAAGCCATCTGAAGGTAGGCTTCCTTTACTTTGAGGATTTTAGTCTTCTCTCCTGCTACTGGCCTTCAACTGATTGTTTGAAGGCTGTTGACATTATGGGGGAAATGTGCTTTATCAAAGTTTACTGATTTAAATGTTTGCCTGAAGAATACTTTAGGTGAGTTATGAAAATGATATCTAGTCTAAAAACTGGTCTGGTGCCTGATGATTTAGTCTGCTCCCAAACTTTAGGAAACCGTCAAGTAAATTTGGACTGGTGTTAAATGTGGCACAAAAATCTAATAATATAGTCGGGAATTTTAGAAAGGAAGAAGGTTTGGTAGCATAATGCTGAGTGCTTTTTTTTTTAATTGCATCAGGATGAATTAACAATCGAGGCATTTTTGTTGTCCTTTTATTTTTTTAATAAGCCACAGTTCAATAAATGGTACACGGGATCATACAGTAAGTCCTGCCTCTCTCCTCTAATGGGAGCAGCAACCTTTTGACAACATAGCATTTCATTATTTAATCTCAAATTTGATCATTTCTTTGATGATTATGTTGTTGATGAAACTGTTTCAGGTCTTTGTCTGGTTCTGTTTTCCTTAGTCAAGTGAATTTCGGTGTTGGGTTGTGATAAGCTCCCCTGATGAAGCTGATCCCTCGCGGTGCTAGGGAAGTAGTTTTGGTTTGAGGATACAAGTTTGTGTGGGAAAGCTAAGCTCCAAAACAAAGCTAAAAGCTATGCAAGACGGCGCAGGTCTATAATCTTAGCATTTGGAGGGCAGAAGCAAGAACATTGCACGTTCTGGGCCAGCCTGAGCCTCAGAGAGAGAGAGAGAGAGAGAGAGAGAGAGAGAGAGAGAGAGAGAGAGAGAGGAAATAGAAGAGCAATTGACTTTCCATCTGCTAAGCTAGTGGTTACAAATCACTGACCTATGACCAAGTCTGACTGTTAGGAGCTAAGAAGAACATTTGCTTTTTTTTTTTTTTTTTAATTTAATTTAATTTAATTATTTATTTTTGTTCTGGGTTTAGTCCCAGCACCAAATAAACTGGATGTGTTGGTATGCACATTTAATCCCAGCACTGAGGAGGTAGAGGCGGGAGGATTGGGCGTTCAAACAAGTTTGAGGCCATCCTGGATACAGAAGACTATGCTTTAGAAAAAGTGGGGGTGGGAGGACATTGAGAAAAAACTTCAAAGACTATTTTTGGAAATTGGAATAGCTCACTGGGTAAGAGTTCTTGCTGCATAGCATGGGGACCTAAGTTCAAATTCCTAGAGCTCATAATATGCTAAGTGTGATCATAGATTGCCCTGTAATACTAGTACTATATGTAGGGTCACAAAACGCAAATATCACTGAGGCTTGCTGCCCACCAAGCTGGCTCCAGAGTCAGAGAATAAAGACAGGGACAGAATAGTATTCCTGATGTCCTCTGGCCCTGTAAATACACATGTATACCACACAACACCAAGAAAATACTTTTTTTGTTACTTGAAAGTTATAGTGAAATTTGAATTTTAGTCAGTGAGTAAAGTTTTATTGGAACATAACCACATCCTTTTGTTACCTACATCTTCAGCAGTATTACAATGGCAGAGTGAAATAACTGCGACAGAATCCCACAAAGCCCGAAGTGTTTATTATCCGCCTCTTCACAGAAAAAAAGTAAAAAGGGTAATATCCTTGAATGCTATGTCCAAAGAAGGTGGGAGCGTTGTCTTGTGACCAACCTGGACCAGATGTGTCCTGGTTGTCAGCATCTTGCTCCAAGAATTGAAGAAACACACACGTGTACCACCCAACACCAAGCAAAGTGTTATGCAAAGACACAGAGGATGAAAAGAATAACAGCAGTGAGAAATTTGCTGCAGAGCTCCCTGCTTACTGCCTGGGGCTTCTAGAGGGGGTGTGGTGCTTCTCTGTTTGATTGAAAGCTTGACTTATGTGAGCTTTTGCCTATTATGCATGTCCTTTCCTGTGATGCCTCTGACTTTAATTCTATACATGCCCAATTATGCATAGGCATAAGGTCATACATAGGAGTTTTCCTTTAAAATTCATGTTTAGAACATGGATTGTCTGACTGCACCAGTGTAGACTGGACTGACCTACCACCTCTGGTTTCAGGATAAGTTTCAAGATGTGTTTTGCCACAAAAGAAGAGCTAATAAGGATTGGCAGGGAGGTATATATAGGTCAGGATGACCTAACTGCTTTGTTTGGAGAGGATTTGTACGTGCAGCTAGATGCAGATGGGGCTCAAGCCAGACATGATCCCGGGTTGATAAGTTATCTGTGCTTACCTGCCTCTGCTTAATCCTTTAATTCTTCCGGAGGCCTTCAAATGTCTTCACAGCATCCTGTTTTACATGTATGTGTATAAAAACCATGATTGTGTCTCTGTTATTGACCCTGATTTAACTCACTGGTAGCCAGTAACTTCCAATTCTATTAAAACAGTAGGTAAGTGGTAGGTGTGATTGCTCAGCATTGTAGCTTTTTGTTCTCACTCTAGAATTATTAAACAGGAATAGTATTTTTATTTCTTTTGTTTTTGGTTTATTGTTTATATATGGTGCTGGGGTGCAAACTCAGAGCCCTACACATGCTAGGGAGGAATCCTGCCATAAGCTATATTTCCAGTTCTATTTTCATTTATTCTAGACATTTTGTTGATAATAGACATATCTTACATATCCTACTTTATTACTGGTTTGGATCTTGGTACTCAAAATGTGATCCATAGACAAACATGGCAACACTATCAAGGGGTTTATTAGAGGTCCAGAGACCTGAAGCTATAGCTCAGTCGTAGAGTGCTTTATAAGATCCACTGGACCCAGAGATTAGTCCCCAGGTGTGTTGGCAGGAGTGAGGTTGGGTGTGCAAGGGAGGTGCTGAAGAAGAAAACGAAAGCTCAAACTCATCTAATTATAGTCTCATCTGGTGGCCGTTACCAGAAAGGACTGTATCACCTCTATATTTATGCCAAATATTCATAACATGGATCAAATGATGAGAAAATTCATCAAATAATCTCAAATTAAAAAGCTTCCTTCTGTCAACAAGCCTGTTTTCTTCAACATTATTTTTATCATGAAAGAAGCACACTGAAAATTTGCTCTGGACTAGAGGAATCTGAAAATTTGCTCTGAACTAGAGGAATCTAGAGAGATATATAACAAGAAACTGCCTTGTGTTACGGCTTATGAGAGGGAAGTTATGAAGGGCAATATTGAGATGGTCATAGAAATATCAATATACTACATGTTAGAACTTTATTGCTCTGCACTTATGTAAGGGTGATGAGTCTAATGGCCGTCAGGTGTCGCAGAACAAGCCTGCAGTCATAGATTTGAGAGGTAAGGACAGGAGGATCACAAGCCTAGGCCAGCCTAGGCCAACCAAGTATACAGAGGAATATCGTCTCCAAACAGAAGCTTCAGGAACAGTTCACTAACTTCTGAACTTTATTATCAAATTACTCAGCAAACACTAACACACATTACAGTGGTGTGCACTTGGGAGTACAAATATAAGAGAAATGAAGGCCAAAGGATCTGTATAACCAAGAGTTCAAGACTAGCCAGAACAGCATAGTAAAACCCCCCCTCTCAAAAGAAATAAAATAAAATTACATATAAATAAAATAAAATCACCAAGTTTGCTGCGGTAACTGTAATATTTAAATTTAAAAGCTTAATCTAAACAAAATTACATCCATATAAAATAACTATTAATTTATTAGAGTGTAGCTATTAATATATGTCTTAGGGTTTCTAGTGTTGTAATGAAACACCATAACCAAAAGCAGCTTGGGTAGGAAAGAGGGTTTTTTTGGTTTATATGTCCTAAGCCACAGTCCATTGAGGGAAGCGGGAGCCTGGTGACAGGAGCTGATACAGAGGCCGTGAAGGAGTGCTGTTTCCTGCTTTGTCCTCATGGGCTTATTCAGCCTGCTTTCTTATAGGATTCAGGACCACCAGCCCAGAGGTGGCACCGTCCACAATGAACGGGGTCCTGCTACATCAATTGCTAATTAAGAAAATGCCCTACTGGCTTGCCTATAGCCCAGTCTTATGGAAGCATTTTCTCAGATGAGATCACTCCTCTCAGATGACTCTAGCTTGTGTCAAGTTGACATAAAAACGAGCCAGCACAATATATAATATTAATGTTAAAATATATATGTGGAGGAGAAACCAAACCTGGCCCAATTCTAAAAATTTGTGCACTGAGATGCTGGTAAAATGGAAGTAATTCTAATAATAGTCTTTGAACTTTCATGTAACTCTGGTTTTTGTTCAAACTGATCAGTTCAGTTTTTAACCAGGAAAATAATATGAGAAGCCAGGATTGATGATACATGCCTATCATCCCAGTACTTGGAAAACTGAGGCAAAAAAATGATAAGTTGAAAGCAATGAGTGATAACAAAAAAAAATATGTTTCATTGTGTAACTACTCTAAAAAATAAAACTGTAATCTCCAAACACTATACATTCAAGTGTATTATTTTTGAATTTTTTGATAGGTAATGGAATATCTTATTGGTGGAGATGTCAAGTCTCTCCTACATATATATGGTTATTTTGATGAAGAGATGGCTATAAAATATATTTCTGAAGTTGCGCTGGCTTTAGACTATCTGCATAGACATGGAATCATCCATAGGTAAGACTGACTTTTCTGTGCATTGTTACTTAAAATGTATTATGTTTGAATCTTTAATATATACAGAAACTGCTTGCTGGTATTTCTAGTTTACCTACAGCTCAGTTGTCATGTGCATGTAGAGAGTGCACTGGCTCTTGTGTTTTGTTAAATGTCGCTTTGAACATGAACAGTTTAATATGAAGCTTATTAATCTTTCCACGCCCACACAGAAGCGATGTTCTGTGGCCTCAGCTGATGTGAATGCCCTTCTCTGCTCAGAGAAAGACTTAATAGCTCTGCTCTGTTAAAACTTAACCACACCTTGCTTTAAAGGCGTGAATATACATTTGAATTGGTGCTGGATAAGATATCTGAATAGAATGCCAAACAGAATCTAGTATTGAATCATATAATTTTTTTGTAGATTCCAATATGTAATAGATGGTTTTGAGGACTGTTTTCTAGACTTTACTGAGCCACTCATGAGGACTTCTATTTTAAAGAAAATAATTGCATTTCCTCTTGCAATTCCCCAACCCCCTCCCATCTGGTATTTTAGCATTAAGACTACTTTTTGTGTCTGTTTGCCTTTTGTATGTCAGGGACTTGAAACCAGACAATATGCTTATTTCCAATGAGGGTCATATTAAGCTGACAGATTTTGGCCTTTCCAAAGTTACTCTGAATAGAGGTAAGAATAATGGCAGGTAAGTGCCAACTTCAGACATTCTATTTCATTAACTTAACTTTTTTTGTTAATTTACATTAGATAAAATGTTGTGGGTATTCTGAGATAGGCTAGAAATGAGTATGTCATACTGTTTTCCCCCCATCAAAAGGGCCTTGGGGTCTGTGGCAGAATGTTTGCTAACTGAATCCAATCCTAGACCAAAAAAAAAAAAAAAAGAAGAAGAAGAAGAAGAAAGATAAGAAAGAAAATAACCATTTTTGGATTTTCAAAAGTCCTTAAAACTTCTTAGATCTTTTTTTTTTTTTTTTTTTGGTATTTCATTTGTATTTTAATAAATACAGCTTGTCTGAAGTTCAGAGAGTAAAACAGCCATACTGATCATCCTTACAGACCAGGCAGTGGTGACACATACCTTTAATCCCAGTAGTCACAGTAGTTTGCCATAGAAACTGGGTGGTAGTGGTGCTTGCCTTTAATCCCAGCACTAGGGATTCTTAGATCTTTAAAGAGGAACTGGCACCTGCTATTCTCTTTCTCCTTGCTGAAACAGAATATGATCCAGAGTTGATTACTAAAATACTTATGCTAATACATCCTGCCACCACCATGACCTTGGTAGATGCAATTCATTCATATATATGAAAATAAGTTCTGTTCTGAGTAATTTCTAAAATTCTAATATAAGAAATAACAAATTTACACTATTAATACTACAAAGAAATACTGGTCCATAAGCAAAACTACACAAAAGAACACAGTTTTTCTAAAGAGATTATTTACATTTATAGTATGTATTTTTTTGAAAGCTTAGTGCTTTCAAAAGAAAAATTGTCTATGTTTTAAGAAAGCAGAAGATTTTAATTCTCTCTGATTTCGTGTGGAGTGTTTTAGAAGAGGGCATAATAAGTAACACCGGGTTTATACAGCCTAGGTTGATCTTAATGTTGTCATGTAGCCACAAATAACCATCAACTCGTGCCTGCAGCTCACAAGTGCTGGGATTATAGATAGATGCCACTGTATCTGGTTTTGATGTGTTGAGTTCTTAATCCTAGAGAGTAAACTCAGGTCTCTTGTACACTAAGCAAGCATTCTGACACTAAACTACATTCCTAGCCTCTTGGTCTTACATTTTAGAATTTATTCTATAGCTGTGGGTGTAGAGAACAAAACTTAAGAGACTAAAATGATTTGCAGTACCATTGTATATTTAATTGAAGCAAGACATTACTTAAGTTCTTCATAGACTTATGGTAAGATCTTGCAAGTAGACTGGATTCTCTATTAAGAAATGTGGAAGAGGGGCTGGCAAGATCTCTTAGCAGGTAAGAGCACTTGCTGCAGAAAACTATATAGAGTTCAGTTCCAAGCGTTGGCGTCAGGTGGCTCATGGCAGCTTGTAATCCAGCTCCATGGGATCTGACGCTGTCTTCGCCTCCACATGCACACATATACATCTGGCTTGCATGCACTCAGACACCCATGTACACATAAATAAAAATCAATCTTTTTAAAAAGGAGTGTAGATGAGGAAGAGAGAGAATGTGGGAAGATGTGAAAGTGATCCTGGGGAGGGGAAAAAAGAAGAACTAAGTATACAACACACTGTATGAAGATGCTGTGGTGAAATGTCTCTCCTCCCCTGGAAACTAATAACTGCAGACCTTGTTACCCTTCCCTACCCCTGTTGTGATGTGGGTAGGCCCAGTCTCGTGCAGGTCTTGTTCAGGTGATCACAGTTGGCTTGAACTCAAGAATATACAGTCATTCCTGTAAGTCAACCTCCCACATCATCCTTACCCCCACTCTCCAGCTCTAGCAATGCTCCCTGCACCTGGAGGTAGGATATGTGCCAGAAATGGCCTCTTCATGCTGGGCATTCAGTAGTCACTTTGACAGGTATGAGCATCTGTAATTACTGAACCCACTACAAAGATAAACTTCTCTAGTCAGAACTGACAGCAGCAATGATCTATGGATATAAACATAATTTTTTGAAGGCAATTTGATAGGTACATCAGATCCATTTGTCAAAATTAGAGCAGAGGAACTTCCTCCCTCCCGAAGGTTTATGACATTTCCAAACATGGACTTTTGATTGAGTTTAACGTACCAGACAAGGATTCTGTCCCTCAGAGCAGGCCTGAAATCCACTTAGAGAATTGTAAGTTACCCTTTAACATATGGTGCCGCTATTGCACCAATGGGCCTGCCTGGCCTAGTCTGACAGCACTATTGTATACAGCATCTATAGCTGGGTAAGCCTGGTATTGATAATCCCCCTCCAGCGCCCCCCCTGGCCCCACTGGTTCTGTGAGAGCCAGCCAGCAGGGATTTCCACCACCCCCCAGCGTCCCCCTAGCACCCTCTGGTACTGTGAGGATCAGCCAGCAGGGATTCACCACCCTCAGAGGCCCCTTTGCACCCTCTGGTTCTGTGAGGGCCAGCCAGCAGGGAAGGAACTCCTGCCTCACTTTCATTGTAACTTCTCTGTATCACACGGTGAGGGAGTGTGCTGCTCTCAACAATGAGGTCTTGTTTTGGTGACCAGACAATAGCAGTGGCAATTGCTTGTGTTGAAATAACTGATAATTAGTGACTGAGTGCTTCTTAAAAAGCTGATAGTGTTCTGAGTTATTTTGCTGTTTTCTATCTATTCTACAAGACTGTTGTAGAAAATGTTTTTCCCATCCTGAGGCTAGGACCCAGGGCCTTATGCATGCTTTGCTGGACAAGACACTCTACCACTGAGCCATATCTCTACCTCTCAATTTTTAATGATTTCAACTAATTAATTAGTTGTAAGTGTTGCCTCTGCAGTTGAGAACGTTCTCTGCATATATGTATCCTACACTAGCCAGTTTTGTAGGTAAAGTTAATAACATAGAGAGGCAAAGGACCTGTGGTGGTAGTGCATGCCACCAGCACTCAGGAGGCAGACGCAGGCGGAGCTCTGTGAGTTCCAGCACAGCCAGAGCTTCACACAGAGAAACCCTGTCTCAAAAAACAGAGAGAGGTATGGTTCAGAACATATGATTACTGATTTAGTCAATGATAGCAATGGTTTTTAACTATATTCATGTATTTTTCTTTGCATAGATATCAATATGATGGATATTCTTACAACACCATCCATGGCTAAGCCTAAGCAGGATTACTCACGAACCCCAGGACAAGTCTTATCTCTCATCAGTTCTTTGGGATTTGTGAGTACTTAATAAGGAAAACCTTTTCATCATTACCACTTAAAGTGTTAACCTGCTATAAGATAAAAATAAAATAGATGTTTATATCAAACGTGAGGGGGGGGGCTTATTTTTGGCAGTTTGTGTACCCAGGTGGTAGGGCATCTATTTTCTGTATTCATCTGAAAATGAATCTCTTAGTATTTGTTTTTAATTTTTGCTTTTACTATTTTTCTTTTTAGAACATTTTTACCACCTGTGGGTGTGGGTGTGTGCACCACAGTGCACAAATGGAAGCAGAGGATAACTTATACAAGTCAGTTCTCTCCTTCCACCGCATGGGAGACCCAGGGATTGAAGTCAAGTCCTCAGGTGGGAGGTGCCTTTACCCGCGACCTTCTCACTGGCCCCAAATAATTCTCTTTTTCATAGTTCACACCAATTGGAGAAAAAGATCAAGACTCTGCAACCGTGTTTTCAGCCCCTAAGTCTGAAGCACAACTTTCTCAAGGATTAATTTGCCCTATGTCCATAGATCAGAAGGACCCTTCTCATTCTAGCAGGCTGCTAAAGCCATGTAAGTATAAAAGACTATTGTTTTCCACCAAGTGTGTACTTTAAAAAAATCTCAAAATTTTAAATTCCTACTAGCAATTTAATAACTTAAAAATGCCAATAGTCAGACAGTCTGTGGCACTCCTATATTATTACATAAATGATGATCACAGTGGATTTTATAAATCCCACAGAATAAACTGTCTTGCTAATAATCATATTTAATTACCTATAATTTAGGAATGATGGTTGAGTAAATGTCACTAAACTTTGACTTATGAAAATTGTATATGAAAAATGTTTGTCTTTATAAATTTATTCCCAACAGATTCTGAGATAGTTTAAATTTAAAACTCAAAACAGAGGCGGCTGAGGTTTGGTTGTTGCTCATTGCTTTGGCGTTTTTGTTTGTTTGCTTGCTTCTTTTTATTTTGTTTTGTTGGTGTTTTGAGACAAGTTCTTAATATGTTGTCCATGCTAATGTTGAGCCCAGGTTGGCCTTTAAATTTCAGTGTTCTTGCCTCAGCCTCCTGAGTACTAAAGTTACAGGTATGTGTCTCCACAACGTGTTTCAAAGTAAGTGTATTTTTGCATTTAAGAGAAAATGCTGGGTATAGTGGCACACACCTTTAATAGCAACACCAAAAACAGGTGGATCTCTGAGTTCGAGGCCAACTTGATCCACCTAGAGGATTTGTGTATGAAAAATTAAGTTGGGTTAGATGGACTTGGAAATTCTGTTCCTAATTGTAAAATGTAATACTGATTATGTTAATGTCGTGTGTGTGTGTGTGTGTGTGTGTGTGTGTGTCTGCTGCAGGTGACGGAACTCAGGCCTTGTGCATCCCAGTGTTCTGCCTCCAAGTCACAACCCCAGCATCTTCTCACATTTTATTTCAAGACAGTCTCACTGGGCTTCTGGTTCTAGAGGTTAGAGGTGTTAATGGCAGAGCTGGGACATAGTGGCTTGAGCAATAGTTGTGTGGTCACATCTTTACAAGCAAGAAGCTGAGAACATCTTGTCTCAGCTTGAAACCTCAGTCTGTCCCTGTGACACACCTCCTTCTTTAAGGCTACAACTAAATCCTTCCAAACACTTCTACCAACTGGGGACCAACTGACCAAACATGAGCCAATGTAGATCATTCTCATTCAGGTCACCACAATACGCATTTTTACAGATATATAAAATCTTCAGATGTCTACGTAATTCAGTAGAAGCACAATTGTCTGTGTTTAATTGAAAGTAAAGTGAGGACCTTTATTCTGTATGCAAAACCACTTGAGGGCTGGAGAGATGGCTCAGAGGTTAAGAGCACTGACTGCTCTTCCAGAGGTCCTGAGTTCAATTCCCAGCAACCACATGGTGGCTCACAGCCATCTATAATGAGATCTGGTGCCCTCTTCTGGAATGCAAAAATACATGGAAGGAATGTTGTATACATAATAAATAAATAAATCTTAAAAAAAAAAAAAGAAAGCTGACTGTAGATGCTTATGTTTAAAAAAAAAAAAAAAAAAAAATCTCTTGTAAAGGACATGATGGTGCTTTTGTAATCCCAGAACTACAGAAACAGACAGGGATCCCTTGGGCTGACTGGTCAGCCAGCCTATCCTGCTTGCGTAACTCTTAGCCTGTGAGAGATCTTATCTTTAAAAAACATGGAAAGATGACTCAGCAGTTACGGCACTGGCTGCTTTTCCAGAGGATCTGGCTTCAATTCCCAGCTGCCACATGGCAGCTCACAACCGTCTGTAAGTCCAGTTCTAGGATATCTTAACATGCTTTCTGACCTCAGTGGGTACTAGGCATGCACATGATGTCCAGAAACACATGCAAGCAAAACACCTATACATATAAAATAAAAATAAACTAAAATTCAGAAAATATGCCAGGTGGCGGTAGTGTACACCTTTAATCCTAGTACTCAGGAGGCAGAGACAGGCAGATCTCTGTGAGTTTGAGGCCAGCCTGGTCTACAGAGTAAGTTCCATGACAGACTCCAAAGCTACACAGAGAAACCATGTCTTGAAAAACCAAAAAAAAAAAAAAAAAAAATCAGAAACTACATACGAAGATGATGATGATGATGATGATGATGATGATGATGGTACATGGTGCCTGCCCAGACTCTCTGCCTCCAGCTCGAATGAACACGCACACAGCTAAGGAGTAACCATTTCTAACCTGTTCAAGCGCCACTGTCGATTGCGTTGGGTGGGCTACTCAGTCTAGGGGTTTGTAACCCACCCTGCAATCAGTTATTCCAGGGTCACGGAGGGGCGCTACCTGGAAGGGAATGAGCTAAGATAGAAGAAGGAGGCCAAGCAGATTTGTCAAAGCCTCCCCTTTATTAGGGACGGGTTACAGTTTATATATGGTAAGGAATGGGGGGCAGGGTACGGGATCTCGCAGGCCGCGTGGTTCCGGTCACGTAGCTCGGTCAGGTAGGCCAAGAGTCACAAGTTGCCACACCTGGTTCCCTGGGTAGCTGGAATATGAGGCGTGTTCTGCTAACAGATTAACAGTTAATTGGGTGGGGGACAGATTCTGTCAATAGAACATAATTATGGGTGTGAGGTTCCCTGCAGACTCCCCAGGGTGATGGTTCCTGTAATGATAGGGGGAAATGGCTCCTGACATAGGATGGAGGGGGCAAGTATACTCTAGGTACTGCCTTATTGCACTGCACACTGGCAGGCAGGCAGTTTTCCATCATGTAACAAAATTCCCTATGGAGGTATAAGTGTGAACATTGGTAGAATGTTTGTTAAATATATACACTGCCATGGGTACAATCCTGAGCACTGCAAATAAATAAATAAATAAATAAATAAATAAATAAATAAATAAATGAAGCAAATGCCTATGGCTTTGTGTAATTCACACTGATGAGCATCATAAATTTCAACATCTCCATTACTGCTACAGTTTTAATTAAACATAAATTGATCTGGATAAATCTGGTAACATTCTAAGCTTATAGCATATTTCAATAATGCACTCCAGTAAATTGTCCTTTATTTATAACTCTAAAATAAATCATATAACTCAAAATAAATTTCCTTCTAGTTATATTTAAATTTCCTTCTCCTGGCTTTTATTTTACAAATGTAAATGGATTTTCTTTTGTTATAACTGTTGGAGTTTTGCCTACATGTGAAATAATTCATGAATCTGAATGTAATAAGAATCATATCAGGCACACTACCATCCTTGGGGACTAGATAATGTTTACAATAGTTATCATATGTAATGTAATATGCAGTTACCTGGAAAGAGTCAAGTTTCATAAAGAACTAATAGCTGTGAAAATAAATAAGTATTTTTCCCCCGAGGCCTTGAAAGACTTGCATCCAATGCAGAAGCCCCTGTGAAATGCCTGACCTCCAGTCTGCTCCAGTGCAGGAAAAGGCTGGGCATCTCGGACACTAGCAGTCAGTCCCAGACCTTCGTGTCCAGTGTGGAGTCAGAGTGCCACAGCAGTCCCAAGTGGGAAAGAGACTGCCAGGTGAGGAGGGCATCTGAGGAAGCCCAGCTGGTGGTACAGGTGGAACCAGTGATAGCCGCGCCGTGCCTATCCGTGTAAAACCTATGAGGAAGTGGCATTGTCATATGGGCACAGTGGCAGCATTATAAAAGCTCTTTATTTTTCTGGACATTCTGTCAAATTCTTTTAATATCTTTATTTCATTTCTTATTCAGTTATGATAAGAGTCTTGCTTAAAGTATGATGAGTGATTAAGTATTAAGTAAACCAATAGAAAATGTTTGGCTTCCTGTCAGACTTTTTAATTTCCTTCTGTAATAAACACAGGAATAATTGTTCGTTGTTTGTTTACCTACATAGTTTTAAAGCTCATAATGTCTCCTGTACTATTTCCCACCAATTTCTCATTAAATGGAATGGAAACTCTTCAGAAATAACTTTTAGACCATAAAGTTTATAGTAATATGTCCTTAATAGTATATATTCCAGGGCAGTTGTTATCCAAATGGATGGATGTACTTTAAATTATTTTACTTAATTTGTTTTTGCTTTTTCTATAAAGTTATTAGTGCTAATAAATACAAAAGGTGATAGGAACTTAGATAGAAAATTATAGTTAAGTTCTCCTCCAAAGAAGGTTGATAAAAATGAAAATAAGTCTTTCATTTAATAAAGTAATTTAGGTTATATTTGCTTATTTTCAGAAATATGACCTTCCTCGTTGTTGGAGATTTATGTTTTTAGAGCAAAATCAAACATAGATAAGGCAAGATCTCGTGATCTTTTTTCTTTTTCAGCTGTGCTATAGATACTATATGCTATAAAGTAAACAGGTTCCTACAAAAGGTTAATCCCTTTTGTATTCTAGAGATCATGATGTGCACTCTGTCTGTGCATAGCTTCCCTCTCCCCTTCCCCCACTTAGTTCTGTACTGAAGAATGCAATGATGAGAATATAGTAGTATGTAGTAGACAGTTATGATCATATGAGTGTGATACTATGCTGATCCCTAGGTTCATCCATTTCTATACCAGAAAACCAGTGAATTGTAATTCAGAAATCTTCCTTTTACTTAGAACTAAGTATTCCTCACTACTACATAAATTAATGGTAGTTATTAAAGTTTGATGTTTATACATAAAAACACATACTGTTAAGGGTGGGGTGTTTATGCATAAAAATACACACTGTTAAGGGTGGGCTGTATCTTTGTGGTAGAGTACTTGTTTCATATGATTCTGGGTTCAGTCCCCAGTAATACCAAGAGGTTAACAAAAAAAGAAAAGGCAGTACTAGAGATTGCTGAAGATTCATGCTATGAAAGTGTCCTTTAAAAAAATCCTAGTCACCATGTACCGGTGTCGGTACTAAGTTCTGACACACGTATCCTCAGATATTTCAATTCGGTCTTCAAGAAAGGCTTCTACCTCAGTTGGTACAGTGCGTGCCTAGCAGGCACAACACTATGGGATTAATTCCCAGCATCATACAAACTGGGCCTGGTGACCATACCTGTAATTCCAGCACAGGCTTATCTTCTTGCTACACAGTTTAAGTCAAGCCTGAGGTACATGAAGTTATCTCAAAAAGAGAAAAGAAAGAAAAGCGTTTGTTTTGATGCAGTGTCAATTGATCTTCTTGATGATTTTCTTTTATTAGTTTATTTATTTTTGTTTGTTAGAAAGTACTCTACCACTGAGTTATATCCCCAACAATGGATTTTAGTTCCTAGTTATTTCTGTTTTTATTTTATTGTTTACATAGGGATACATGTTTACAATATCTATGTTTGCCCTCTAATTTTTCAGTGAACTAGATTTTAAACTCTTGCATTTTGTGTTGTTTTAAACAGAATCACCATACCTCTATGTAGTAGGAGCTGCGGGCCTCTTCCCACAGTCTGGCTCCTGGCCACCTGGCTAGCTTATACCCCGAAATAACAACACAAACTGTATTCACTTAAACACTGCCTGGCCTATTTCTATTAATGTCTGTAGCACCGAGGTGCGCTTACCGGGAAGATTCTAGCCTATGTCGGAGCTTCATCGCGGCTACCCGGGAGAGGGGAGCATGGTGTCTGAGCTCACTTCCTCTTCCTCCCAGCATTCTGTTCTGTTTACTCCGCCTACCTAATTTTCTGTCCTATAAGGGCCAAGGCAGTTTCTTTATTTAACCAATGACCTTCTTCCATCACCTCTACTGCAAAACAGATAATGTACTCTATTTATAATGTAGCCCTACCTTAAATTTGCCTAAATATATTCTATGAATTTTTCTTATTTACTATGTAATATGGCATCAAAATAAGTATTAGTACATAATTTATTTAAATTTTGACCAGTGTTTTATTTGAAACAATGTAATTATAAGTAATGTAGTATAGTAAGCTTATGCTATAATTGTTTTTAGTTCTCTTATTACAATTCTTCTGTCTCATTTAAAAACAAGAAAGGAAGCATTCTAGTTCATTAGATTACTGATCTCATGTAAGTGGTCATAAAATAGAAGTTATTAAAGAATTTAAGGTCCATAACTAAAAGTAGCATTTTCCTCCTCTTAGGAAAGTACCAAGTCATCAGACTGTACAATGAGCTGGAATGCAGTGGAAATACCTTATACAAAATCTACAAGTGCCATTGAGACAAAAACAGATCTTGAATTAGCGCTTTCTCCCATTCATGACAGCAGTGCCATCCCTGCCACGAGAAGCCACCACGTGAGCCTCCCTAGAAAATGCTTCTCTGAGGGAGTCTCTTGGGAAGGGAGAGAACTGAATGTAAATAATGAGAACATGACCATTGATATGAGACAGCCTGGTTTCCTTCAGTCTGATCAGTGGGCTGGAAATTCTAGTGGTATGTCTGAAGAACACCTTGGTAAAAGAAATTTTAAAAGAAATTTCCATTTGGTTGACTCTAGTCCTTGTCGGGAAATTATACAAAGCAAAAAAAACTGTACAGAGTGTAAGCATAGCAAGGGAATGATAGGTTGCTATGCAAATCAAACTACGGGCCTAACTACTGAAGTTCGGAGTCTTAGGCTCTCAGTAGACAGAAGTCAGCAAAATGACTGTGCTAATAAGGAGAACTTTGTCACCTATTTTACTGACAAACAAACCCCTGAAGAATTACGTATACCAATGATAGCAAAAAACCTTCTGTCTGAACTAGATGCAGACTGTGAGATGACTACCAAGAAGGACTGCCCGAGTTCTCACGCTGCGTGTCCTGTTGAGGGGAGAGCTCCGAAAACTGTGGATTCAGATTCATCTTTTCCTGAAATTTCCATGATGGAAAGTTCACTTGAAATTCAGACCTCAGAACCTGATAAAAGCAACAAAGAATGCTGTTTTGAAGAATCAAATATTGAAGATCCACTTGTATTATCAAACTGCCAAGAAAACTTGTCAAAAGATGATTGTCATACTTCTATCCAAGATAATAGCCAAATGTTAGCTCCCTCTTTACAGGCATTAAAACCGCTAACCTGCAAAACAAATGTTGTAGCTTTTAGAAGCTTTAACAGCCATATTAATGCATCCAATAATTCAGAACCATCCAAGATGAGCATAACTTCTTTAGACGCTATGGACATTTCCTGTGATTACAGTGGCTCCTATCCCATGGCTGTGACCCCGACTCAGAGAGGAAGATCCTATGTGTCACATCAGGTATACTATAGTTCGCTGGCACTGTTTGGATGTTAGAGTAACAACCTAAAGACACTCTTGCCTCTCAGCTAGGTTATATGCTATGAATTATACAATTTTGATCTCCAATGGATTGCTGGAGATTTTTCACATATAAATTTAAAGCTGATAGTAATGTGTATTAATCATAACAGTTGAATAACTATGCTTTTCTAAGAAAATACATATTTTCACTGACCTTAACAAGTACTTTGAAATATGAAATTGAAATCTATCTTATCCTCCAACATATATATTTTGATTATTTGTCTTTATTCGCTATACTTGTATAAGCCAAAAATTCTATTTCTTTTATTCCCTTAAAGAATCATTATAAAAAGATTAAGCTCCAAATTTAGGTTATAAGATTTATGTTTTCCTTTAAGGGCTTAGATGTCCCTTAACCTCAGACTCTATTTTCCAACTCCCTGTAAGGGATAAAAGCCCCTCATACTTCTTTTAAAGGGTGGTTGTTAAGTAGCAATTACCTTAAAGCCTTTTAAGTATGACTCAGTACAAGAGGTGACAGACACTTGTGAGACAGCTCTTACAGGTTGTCTTAATAATTCAATCATTTGTCAGCCATGGCTTTTCTTATTCTTTGTATCAATCCAGACTGTCAAGATACTTTTCTTAGACAGCATACCTTGCTATAATCCCATAATCTTAACTCTTAAAAGCTAAGGCAGTAGGATCATAGGTTTGAAATCAATATGGGCTATATAGTAAAACTATCTCAAAAGAAAAGAAAATTTTATTCTTGGGTATTTTTAAATGTTTTTCTTTTAAAGTCATCTTATTGAAATGATTGATGTTATCTGAACTATTGAATTTTATTATATATGGACCTTTTCATAATTGTAACCAAAGAGTCTATTTTCAAATCCATAGTCAAGGTTTTGAATGTGTCATTTATACCTAGAGGCTTTTTGTTGTTGCTTCAATGCTTTTGTTCATCTAAAAGAAATTAATATTTGTTGTATCTTGAACTCTTCTTGAATTAACAGACTCCAAATCAAGTCAAGCTAGGAACATCATACAGAACTCCAAAGAGTGTGAGGAGAGGGGCAGCCCCAGTGGATGATGGACGAATTCTGGGAACTCCAGATTACCTGGCACCCGAGCTCTTACTGGGTACAGCCCATGGTAAGGTACAGACTGTGTGTCTTAGGTTTTGAATTTTTACCAATGGCTGCATTACCCTTTTATGTGAAATTGTTTTAAATTTCTTTGATGATCTGTGTTCAATCCCTAGAACTCACATGGTTCTTCTTCTCCCAGAAATTGTCCTCTAACATCCATAATGTGGCCTGGGTTTTTTTTTATTTGTTTACTTCTGTTGCTGGTTGAAGGCGGGGTCTTTGAAGGGGACTCCTGCACAAGCCACACCCAAACCTGATTGCACGGAGAGATCATTCATTAAGCAGGAAAGAAAAGTTAAAGTGGCTACTTTCTGACTCTGAAAACAGCAGCAAGTTATCTTGCAGGCATCATTCTGAAGAAGAGAAAAGGGGACCGGGTAGTGGTGGTGCATGCCTTTAATCCCAGCACTTGGGAGGCTGCAGCACACAGATCTGGTCTACAGAGCTAGTTCTAGGACAGGCTCCAAAGCTGCAGAGAAACCCTGTCTCGAAAAACAAAACAAAAAAAAAGGGGGGGGGGGAAGAGGAGACGTGTGTTAAAATGTGCTAGGATGGGGTGGTAAAGGAGCTGGAAGATGAGGGAGAAGGGGACCAAGGAGAGGCGGTGTGTATATTTATCCTGGAGGGACAAAGGACACCTCTGGATAGAGAGGAGAGAGACGCCAGACGCCGCACACGGACAGATGGCGGTTATAAAGGTAAAGGGGAAACTCCCTGTTAGGATAAGCTGTTTAATTTTAATTGGGCATGTTAATTAGGTGAGCCAAAGGGAGCTTCTGATTGCTGGGCTTTGGTAGTCAGCCTCAGAAGTAGTCAAATAAGGGAATACACCTGATGGGGTCCAGGGGCATGCAGTGATGGGGGCACAAATCACCCAAGTCTATTAAACCAGGGGGGAAAAACACTATGGGGCACACAAAACTTATCAGCTATAGTTATGACCACGACCGGAGACTGGGCTTCTGTAGCTCTGGCAATGGGGGCTGATTTTGAGCCTCCTCTTATAGTAAAATCAAGTACCAGGTGTGTGGGTCAAAGAGTTTTTACAAACTTGAGGTCAGACTTAAAGTCACATTATATTTTAAGTTTTACAACTTTTGGTTACAGGATGTTGGAATGTTAACTTAGCGTGTTTACGAAAGCCTGTGGCTGACACAGCCGCTTTTCACTGTCTCTGAAAGAATGCAGGGCAGAGAGTAGAGTCACATAGCGTACAGTTAAAAATTAAGGGAATGCAAGCAGAGGGTCCCATAGAGGCAACAGTTAGAAGCTAACCTTTGTCCCCAGTACCTGCCTAGCTGGGAAGCTGGAAAGCAGGAGATAATTGTTAAAAAGGTTTACCTCTGTACACAGTGGCTGCCAGGATGTCTGCTTTTAAGGCAGAAAGTGTTGTTAAAGGTTAACAGTGGCTGCCAACTTTATTTTTTTTTCTTTCAAAATGTGTTTGTGCTTGCAACTTTATATTTCTGTGTCCCTGGACTGGACCCTTTATTTCTATATTCTATTCCTGGACTCCTCAATAGTTGTAGCAAGGCCTGCCAGAACCACATGCTCTAGTGAGCTAGTGTCCCTTCAGTCTTACTGTGTAGACCAGCCTGGCCTCAAACTTAGAGATCCTTCTGCCTCTCCCTTGTAAGTCCTGGGATTACATGCATGTGTCACTACACCTGTCAAGTAAATGTTTTAAATGAATACATTTCTTTGCTATATAGATAAAGGAATACATGACATCTCTTTGCCATATAGCATTTAAAGTGGTCAAATGGAAAGAAGAAATAACGCGGGCTGAGAAGATAGATGGCTCAGTTAGTGCAGTGTTGGGCACACAAGCATAAGGACCCGAGTTCAGATCCCACAAGTAATCCACATAAAAATGAGCCTAAAGTGAGGAAGGGGGTATGGTGGCCAATGCCTATGATCTTAGCCTGACAGACAGGAGGATCTGGGGTCATGCTGGCCTGAGGTCTTAACAGAGCAGTGAGTTGCAGGTTTAGCCAGAGACCCTATTTCAAAAACTTAGGCATATAAGAAGACATTTTACATGAACCTTTGACATGACCACATGTGTACATACTGCCATACACACACAAATATGCATTTTTCACAACATACATTTCAAAGTGTAGGTCTGGTGTAGGGGAGTAAACACTGTGGAGCATGTAACCATTTCTTTTATGTTTGTTCACTTTGGGGCTGACGGTTTTTTTAAAAAAAGAAAAAAAAAGTCCTTAAATATTCCCTAAGGAAGAGCTTTACCACTGGGCCACATCTGCAGCTCCAGTGGTTTTGCCTTTGCAGTCTCACTGATGCAGAGAAGCCCACCTTAGTCTGTGCTAAAGTGCTTGTGACTACAAAGTTAGCCCTAAACTTCTGTTCAGGCCGCAGAATTTAACCTCATTTTATGGTCACAGCAATGAACAAAGCAACTAAAACAGTTAAGAGTTGTACAACTTTAACAGTTCTTTTATCCTCTGGATTTATATAATAGGAACTGCAAGATAAGCATGGACAAATACTCTAAATTCCAGGTACCTTGCAGTACTTGAGAAAGGCAGGTTAAACAGTTACTAAATATCTGTCTAAATAAGAGAGTTATAAACCCAATACAAAGCTATATACAGTAAGAACAAATATCAAGTATAAAAATTAGAATCACAACCAGCATAAACAATATCAAGCAAGAAGCATATACTCAATGTTTCACCAGTTATCCATCCTATGGAATATAAGTCTTATATTAGAAGTGGCTTGGCTTGGGAGGAAAGTAACTATAACTGTCTAGTCTTCAACCTGATCAAAGACCTGAGAAGGGAAATGATATTGCTTAAGTAAACAGGAAGTGCAATCAAACAACTTCCAAAAGGTGCAATAAATAATAGAGACAATCTGCTACCTGGACAATAACCCAAAGTCTCATTTGCAATGTTGGGGCAACCAACTTTGGCTAAGGCCTAGAGTAACTGACAGAGCATTTTCAGAGGCAGGAAAAAAATTGAAAAATTGTCTTACCCTGTCTTGATAAGGTTTGACAGTCTTTTTGTCTGTATCCTGCTTGTCCTGTCTGGACACTTGTTGTAATAGGAGTGGCAGGGCTGTCTCCCACCACCAGCTCCCGCACGGCTATCTTTCCCCGAAACTGTGTTCTTTTAAACACTGCCTGGCTCATTAGTTCCAGCCTCTTATTGGCTAGCTCTTGCATATTGATCTAACCCATTTCTAATAATCTGTGTAGCCCACAAGGTGGCTTTCCAGGGAAGATCTTAACCTGAGGCTGTGTCGGGTGGGAGAATCATGGCAACTCCTGACTCGGCTTCTTCCAGCATTCTGTTCTGTCTACTCCGCCTACCTAATTTTCTGTCCTATTAGGGCCAAGCAGTTTTCTTTATTAATTAACCAATGAAAGCAACAGATAAATACAAGACCCACCTCCATCAGACACTGCTCATTTCATCAGTGGTGGAGGCAGGGGCAGTTCTTTGACCAAAGGCCAGTATAGGAGAAAAAAAGCTCCTATAATTCTTTTTTTTTCCTATAATTCTTAATACCTATATAGTTTAAAGACTAAGATTTCATATTAAAATAAACAACTGTGCAGAAAATGAGGAAAATGACCTCAAAATGTAAACAATATATGTAAGTATCTTGATCAGAGGTAGAAATGTATAGTGAAATATGATACAAAATATCTTAAGCAGAGATAGAAACAGTATGCATACAATATGACAAAATAACTGCACAGTTGAACAAATATTGTAAACAGAAATAGGGCCATATTGAATATAACAAATATAATTGAATTTGTATCATTATACAAGAATTTATAGCAATGTAAACTGTCTATAAATAATAGCTCACAAGTGTTATATTACTCACTATTATTATTTTACCTATTATCCCATCCAGTCTCCCATTTTTCTTTTTGAAAAGAGATCACTGAGCCTACTTAATTTTCACCCCCAATCCCAAACCCTAGACTACTTATAATCACCCCTAATACCTTCTAGATCTCCTAACCCAGAGTACAAACTTTGTTGGGAGAGGGTACTTGGTCTTCTAGAATTACTTCAAACTGTCATGGGGGCGATTTATTTCTATGGAATCCTGTAAAAACTAAAATGATGGTTAAGTTTTAAGATTACTGTCTGGTATAATTGCAAATAGTCTCTGAGTAGTCGGTAGGGTTTTTCTGAAGTTCTAATTTGAAGTTCTAGCCAGATCATTACAAAAAGGTGCACCATCTCAGCTAACCAAGTTGGAACCATCTTGAGCAGCCTGTAACCGAAAACCAATCTTAAAGTGGTAATATCAGCTTTATGACATCATTATCTAATAGGTGGAATGGTTGTTGTTGGGCCCCATCTTCTTCCTAGAAACTTCAAAGATTACTGCAGGAAAATTTATTGTTCATTGTGGAAAACTCAAACATTATTCATGTAGCCATATATTCAAGAAAAAGATACTATAGAGACAAAAATAGGTATGGGAAGAAGTAAAATTTTGCCTAAATTCTTTCTTCTTTCTGTCCCATACCAGATGGATCCTGATATGAGACAGAAACATTGAATTTTTCTTATAACAATATGCTTGAGTTTAGAGAAGGATAGCCATTGTCCAACTCTAATGATTTTTAAGTGATTTAGGTTTACTATTATACTGAAATGTGTGTGTGTGTGTGTGTGTGTGTGTGTGTGTGTGTGTGTGTGTGTGTGTGTTGAGGTAATGAAATTTTACCCTTCAGAGGATATGGTACTACAAGTCAAATTTCTCTTTGCTTGGTGATCCTTTCTAGATAGCTGTCTTTTCTTCTTTAGCCATCTAGATGTCCAAGGCATCTCGACTTTTTTCTTACCACCTGTATGATTGTCACCTCTGTGGATGAGTTCTCATTTCTTTCTCAAGAGGTTTCTCTTTTCAAACCTAATCTTTACTAATTTTGGTGGTAACCATAGCTTTTCTTCTCCTATGGAAACAAGAGCGAAATCCTTCCCCAGTGTAGCACATCTCCTGGTTTCTATTCTCAGGTCAACACATCCTTGAAATACACTGACTGATTTAATTCAGAAGATTTTTCTATTATCCAATGTCTCTCTGTTGCCATTGTTCCTTTCTCATTAGCATTAAGAAAATTCAAGGTCAATAAAGCATTATACAATCTATTTCTGGGGGTATTAGCAATCCCTTTCTGTTTGTTTGACATATCCCATATAATTCAATTTGATCTTTCCATAACTGCCTGACCTGACCTGTAGGATTGTTTGGTATACCTGTAATGTGTTTTATATTATAATAAGCAAAACTGTTTCATTTTCTTAGAGATGTATGCTGGACCATTGCCTGTCTTTATTTGTGGAGATATAACCATAATGGCCATAACTTCTAGTAAATCAGCCTTTTCTAAGCTCAATGCAGTTGCCCATTACAAACCTGAATAGGTATCAATGGTGTGGTGTACATATTTTAATCTTCCAAGTTCTACAAAGTGGAATACAGCCATCTGCCAAATTTCATTCCTTTGAGTACCCTTTGGGTTACTCCCTGTAGGTAGCAGTCTTTGGTTATATAAAGGACAAGTAAGATATCTCCTTATAATCTCCTTAGCTTGTTGCCATGTAATAGAAACTCTTTCAATCTTTGCTATTGACAGGATTTTTTTTTTATGAAATTCTGAGGCCTTCAGCACATTTCCATTCAATAATCGATCAAGTTCTGTATTACCTTGTGCTAGAGGACCTGGCAGACCCATAAGAGATCAGATGTGTGTAATGTATATGGGATGAAGCCTATTCCTGATTATGTCTTGCACCTGGATGAATATGAAGTCAATTCTGTATCATTTGGTATAAATTCAGCAGTTTGAATATGTAAAACAACTCTCTTTGCATATTGCAAATCAGTAAATATATTGAGAGTTTCTTTAAAATCCCTTAGTACCATGAGAATAGCATATAATTCTGACTTTTGGACAGAATTATAAAGGCTTTGTTCTACTTTATTTAAATCTCTTTAATCAAAGTCAATTCTTTCTCAGCTTCAGCTATTAATTCTGTGGGACTATTTAAGTCTTTGTCACCATCTAAGGTTTGTTTGAACGAATTATTAGATTGGGTATTATCCCAACAGTAGATCAGAAATGTCTCCTAGCAATCCTTAAGTGTCTGCAATCAATCTCTCCTAATTTGTGCTTTTTGTGTTCTAATTTTCAATAAACCTATTTTATAACCTAAGTAATTGATAGAATTTCCTCTCTGTATTTTGTAATGCCCTCTCTGTAATTTTTCTCTGTAATTTGTAATGCCCAACAAGGCAAAACTTTATTTACTTCTTCAAACATCCTTTCTAAAGTATATCCGTCCTTGAGTCAGATAACAAAATGTAATGGTAAATTACAGATTTACGATATTGTTTATGGATTATTTTTAATGACTGACTTACAAAATATTGGCACAGGTGGAGCTATGAGCATTCCCTGTGGAAGGACCCTCCATTGATATCTTCTAGTAGGTGGAGAATTATTATAAGTAGGTACTGTTAAGGCAGATTTTTCTCTGTCCTTTTCTTGTGAAGAAACAATCTTTTTAAATCAATAACTATAAGAGGCCATCTTCTAGGCAATAGGGAAGACAAAGGAGTGCCAGACTGTAGAGAGGCCATTCACTAAACCACCTTATTAACAGCTCTTAAATCTGTTACCATTCTCCATTTTCCAGATTTATTTTTAACAACAAATACAGGAGAATTCCAAGGGCTGGTTGATTCTTCAATATGGTGAGCATCTAGTTACTCCTGTACCAGCTGTTCTAAAGCCTGCATTTTCTCTTTCGTTAAAGGCCATTGTACAACTCATACAGGTTTGTCTGTCAGCCATTTTGGAGGTAGGGCTCTTGGTGCCTTTGGAAGATCAGCAGCTGTTATGCCCTGGTGATATACAACCTGAATGATTGGTGACTGTTCTTTACAATACCTTCCAATATTTTTCCCAGAAATATATGTAAATATATGGTTGTTTCTAAGATTTGGGTAATGTTAATCTGAGTGTTCTCTTGCTGTAAAAAAATCATGTCCCCACACATTCATTGCCATATTAGCCACATATGACTTTAATTTTCCTCTCTGTCCTCCTGACCCTAATCTTGTGCTCTGTTTTACCTGAGATAAGATTGCGATCCCTAAAAGCTGAACATTTACCTCCTGAAGAGACCAATTTGGATGTCAAGACTCTGATGAAATTATTATTTGTGTCTACCAGACCATTAATGATGTTATTTATTCATATTTTTAATTTTGTTTTTTGTTCATTTATAAATGCTTGCCAAAATAGCGGCTTTAAGCTTTTTCCTGAATTTTTTGTTCTCTCTTCTACAGCTGTTCTATCATCCAGAGTACTATGGCTTCTTACAATAGGCATTAGGTTTTTTAATTGCTCTGAGGAGTTTCCTCTGTGATGAAAGGAAATGACTGACAGAATTTAGCATAGGGACCTGCAAGGGGCCCCTCAAAGAGTTTCCCCCAACACTAAAGTGTTACATTTACTGTCCCTTGTTGATCTGTATTTATTAGACTAATGTTTGCATAATCCAGAAGGGAGGAGCGTACTATTTGGATTATGCTTAGAAAAACCATTGTTTCTAGGAATACCTTGTTTACAGTCTCTTTTAAGGTAACCTAGTTTGCCACAATTGAAACACTTGATATTTTAACTTTTCCTCAAGCTCTGGAAATCACTTCTCCTATCTAAGAATCATCATGGTCACATGGTCATGAGATTAAATATTGATAATGTCTTGGATCTATTCTTCCAAAGGTGCTGAACTTGCCTTTAAAGGTCCAATTATCATTTTGCATTGAGAAATAGCATTTTCAAAAGCCAGAGATTCAGTTACTATTTGCCTAGCTTCTGAATCTGGTATCATTCTTATTTACTGCTGAAGTCAGTCTTTGTAAGACATCCATGAAGGTTACTTTGGGGCCCTGTATGAATTTAGTAAATGATTCAAACTTCTTTCCTACTTTTTCAGTTTTCTCCCAAACGTTCAAAGCTGCTGCACAGCATAAAACCACGGTGTGACCATCATCTGGGGATTGCTTTTCTATAGTATCATAAACTCCTTCTCCAAGTAGTTGATCTTGGGAGATTTCTGAACCTCTAGCTCTACTCCATTGTTTTATGGTCTTAGCCTCTTCTTTGAACCACATCCTCCATTGTAATTGTGGACCAGGCTTCAAAACTATTGTAATCAAATCTATCCAGTCTTTAGGGATAATTCTATTACAAGT